AGGTGGGACAGGATGTCTGCAGAGAGAACCATATATGGATCAGAGGAGGGACAGGAAGTCTGCAGAGCGCACCATATATGGATCAGAGGTGGGGACAGGAAGTCTGCAGAGAGAACCATATATGGATCAGAGGTGGGGACAGGAAGTCTGCAGAGCGCACTATACATGCATAACATTTGACTGCTCTAGTAGATTCTGCTCATACTGTTCTGTTGGGGTAATCAGTTTGAGGAGGTAATGTGGGGGTACACTCCAAGGTACTTTTTCATTTTACATCATACTGGGAGGCTAAAGAATTAGAACCATGAATGTACCAGGTGAAGCCTGTATTCTCTGTCAGTTTGGTTCTGTTCATCTCCTAACAGTCCACGCAGGCCTCTCTCTCGTTTTCTTAGAAAATCCAGAGTTCTTGGGATTTATGTGGGGAAGGAGAGTGGTGTTCAGTCCCCTTTCTTCAGTCAGACTTTAATAAAAGCTGATTTAATTGTCAGGTGGTTCTGTTTATTAAGAGGCAGGGAAACTTAAAGAACTTTATCGGAGTCGCCTCACGTTCATCATTTGCCAACTGATTTCCATTTTATAACAGCCTGAAAATGTTTCCTGTCAGAGCGAGAATGGATGCAAACATCAGTCAGAACAGGTCGGCTCAACGGGCTCTAATTATATAAAATAACAGATTAACATTCACCCTGCTGCCAGGTAATTCATTAGATGTTTGGAAGAGTATTTGATGAAACATCTCAGATTCATGTGGTAGAATGTAATTATCTCCACAACACGTTTGATGAATTCATCCATCCGAACAGGCTGTCTGTAATAAATAAGTCTCTAACGCTGAAGTCATTAAATAACTGCAGCTAACGTGTTCAGTCTGACAGAAAGATTATTACAGGAGCACACGCTAGCTCTTCTATATTTGTGAGGACACTCGCTCGGAAAAAAAACTGTCATCAAAACTATTCAAAAGTTCTCTAAAGAAATTGTAAAAAATAAAATAAAAACCTTCATCTTTTGTGTTTGCCTTTGCTGTTTAAATGTCCTGAGTTAAAAAAAGCACACATTCAAAATAAATATTTAAAGTTGTTTTTGTTGGTTTATTCTACTAAACAATGAAATAAACATTAACCAGTTTCCTTCAGTTTGTTCTGCCCAGTTATTTGAACAAAACAGTTGTATTTTTTTTTCATTCTACCTTTATTTCTACAGGTGAGTCTCATTGAGCCTCGAGGACTCTTTTACAGAGAGACTTGATTTAACAAAGAACATGAGGAACAGACAATCATAGAAAAGCATATAAAATGAAAAGTCAATAAAAGAAGTGATATAAAACAAAACAAAAACAGCTAAATTATAGAGTGATGCAGAAAACTAAAACAAGAACATCTGCAGGAACTGAACAGATGTTTGAAGCCACTTAGAGAGGTCAAAGGTCGGGAGCTTCATGTCTTTTCACAAGATATTCCAGGAAACAGGAGCGGAGTAGGAGAAGGTCCTTTTGTCTAGTTCAGTCCTCACTGAGGGAACACTGCAGGTAATGATGTCCTGAGAGCGCACGCTGTAGCTGCACTCACACAGAGACATGTAGGAGGAGATGTATGAAGGCAGCAGACCAGGAAGTGATTTAAAGATGAAGATGTACCAGTGAGAGTCTGTGTGAAGTTAATGGTGACCAGTTAACCAGTGAATACTGGGTGCAGTGGTGGGTACGATAATCACAGCCAGTTATGAATCTTAGTGCACCGTGATAGACAGCATCCAACATCTGCAGCATCCAACATCTGCAGCATCCAACATCTGCAGGGTTCTTGTAGGAGCGTTCATGTAAATAATGTCACCGTAATCAATGGAGGGAAGTCACAGATACAAATTAAAGTTATTTAAATTTGATATATTTAAAGGACAAGATGGTAACAGGTTAGCATCAGCAGGTTAGCATCAGCAGGTTAGCATCAGCAGGTTAGCATTAGCATGTTAGCATCAGCAGGTTAGGGTTAGCATCAGCATGTTAGCATCAGCATGTTAGCATTTAGATTTCCTTTTTCTTCTTGTTATCAGTTTTTCAGTGGACGTTGCCTTTAATCTAAATGTCAGGGAAAAGCAGGAAATATAAATTTCTCCAGCAGGAAGTTAAACAACTGAAGAACCGTCTGGTCATGATGTTCATCCTGTTCTCCTGTCAGCTTCTGACAAGTTTTTTGTGGGATCTCCATCTCACTCACAGACTTCTACTTTGTAGAAGACTCAAACAGTTGTCCTTCAACTCTGACCAGTCCCTGTTGATGGAAAACATCCTCAGAGCATGTTGTTGCCACCACCGTGCTTCACAGTTGGGATGTGTTCTCAGCGTGGTAGGTTTGTCTTAGACGGTGTTGTCCTTGATCTTTGGTCTCATCTGACCACGGCACCTTCTTCAACAGGTTTGGTGCCTTTTTCCTGCAGGTCCTCCATGAAGTCCAGCTCTGAGCAGCATCTAGAGGTCCTGGGGACAGGTCCCTCACGTCCCAGCTCCATCAGGGTCATCTTTGTCCTCCTGGATGCTTCTCTGTTATTGTCCCCTCTGCTCAGTCCTAAAGACACTTTATGGCACTTTAGCAACAATCAGAGGCCTGTGTGTTCATTCGATGATTCGTGAGAAGCAGATTGAAATGTTCAAAGTAAAAAAGTGCAAAAGAGAAAACAACTAAGTGAAAAATGAAACGTAAAGTGTTTCAGAGCCTGATCGTCTCTTTAGCCTCGCCCTCTCCATGTGTGATAAAACTGATGGCTGATGAACCCGGCGCTAACAGGAAGCTGGCTCTGTTCGATCGTCTCTGCACCTCCGACAACAACCAGTCACTTCATCTCCTCCCTCCATTATCCCATCAGCAGCACTCGGCCTCATCTGATTACCAGAGCACTGCTGCACAGCCACAGATGTGGAAATGGAAGATATCCTCCTCCTCTTCCTCAGCTCAGGTAACACAGGATGTCAGGAGGAAGAGTGAGGAGGAGGACATTTCAGAACCGAACCACAGATCTTTTTTTAAAGATCCGGATCAGATTTTAATGGTTCCAATCAGTGGAGTTAATACTAAACATAAAAAGACCTGTCAAGTCTTCATTTTGTGGAGACATTAATCTAATTGTTATTAGCAGCAAACGCTGCAGGCCTTCTCTTCACCTGCAGCAGAACCAACAGGTTCTTGTTGTCACTCATCACTGAAACAAGAGTTTACCTCTGCAGCGTGACTGAAGCACGCCCAGAAAAAGTCCAACAAGAAACTGAGGTTCTGCTTCATAAACTCAGAAAAATGTATTTGGTTATTAACTCCTCAGCAGCACCTTCACTCCCAGCCTGCCTCATTTCATTTGATTTTGGTCTGTGGGTTTCCTCCTACAGACCAAAAACATGCACGTTAGTCTGACTTCAGGTCCAGGCCTCCATTGTAAAAGAGATCTGTGATCTCAGTGACATTTGCCTGGTTAAATAAAGGCTAATAAATAATAATAATAATTTCTCACTTTTTATTTTCTCATAGCTGCAGGTCACAGCAGTAAGTTCAGGATCCAGATGGATGGATGATGTTTGGTTGATGTTGGATGATGGTTGGATGGTTGTTGGATGAATGATGATGAATGATGAATGATGAATGGTTGGATGGTTGTTGGATGGATGATGGGTGGTTGGATGATGGTTGGATGAATGATGGCTGGCTGGATAATGGATGATGGTTGGATGGTGGATGGATGAATGATGGATGGTTGATAATGGTATGATGGATGCATGATAGTTGAATGATGGACAGTTGGATGATGGATGGATTCTGACACTTCCAGTTCTGTCTCCTGTCTTTTTGTCCATGTCTCTGTCTCCAGACCATACAACATAGCTGGTCTCACCACTGTCTTGTAAACTTTTCCTTTGACCTTTGACCTTTGCTGACACCCTTTTGTCTCAAATCACTCCTGAAACTTTTCTCCATCACTCCATCCTGCCTGGACTCTCTTCTTCACCTCTTCACCACACTCCACATGTTCCTGGACAGTGGACCCCAAGTCCTTGAAGTCCTGCACCTTTGTGACCTCTGCTCCTTGTAGCCTCACTGTTCCACCTCCTCCCTCTCATTCACACATATGGACTCTGTCTTACAGCGGCTGACTTTCATTCCTCTTCTTTCAAGTGCATACCTCCACCTCTCCAAGTTCTCTTCCACCTGTTCCCTGTTCTCAACACAGATCACAACGTCATCTGCAAACATCATCGTCCATGTGGATTCCTGCCTGACCTCATCTGTTAGTCGGTCCATCACCGGAGCAAACAAGAAGGGGCTCAGAGCCGATCCTTGATGCACTCCCACCTCCACCTTGAAGCTATCTGTCACTCCTGCAGCACATCTCACTTCTGTCCTCATACATGTCCTGCTGTCCTCATACATGTCCTGTACCAGTCTAACATACTTCTCTGCTACTCCAGATGTCCTCATGTAACACCACACCTCCTCTCTCGGCACCCTATCAGATGCTTTTTCTAAATCCACAAAGACACAGTGGAGTTCTTTCTGACCCTCTCTGTTCTTCTCCATCAGTATCCTCAAAGCTGAGGATAATCTATCCTTTTTTTCCTGCTTACTCTCGACGAGGACGAGGATGAGGACGCTTCTCCCTCCTGCTCTTCCTCCCTACTGCTTTGAACTTTGTCCTGTGATTCCTATCGGAGCCTCTCACTAAATATCCTCTGAATTATAAATTATGGATCTGGTCAGCTGGTCTCCAAATGTAATTGATAAAATTTTCTTGACGAGAAGACAGAATGAAGGACAGCCCTCTTGCCTGGACGAGACACTTACAGCTGAATACACAATGGATTCCTGGCAGTGGAAGACCGTGTGTCTGGCGGTATTGTCGGTCGAGGATGTAGAAGACACGTACATAATTGAATTTATGATAAACAGGATTTCTACTTTTTGGAGTTGGCGGTATTTGGCTTATCGACAAATGCGGAAAATGTCGGCAGCTGTTCTGGCCTTGATAAAGCTGACTGGCATGAAAGGAATGTACCGAGTGGTAGGCACTCAGACTCAGACGCTGGATGAGCTGAGCTGTAAGTTGCGGTTCCTGAAACTCAATGGCGGGAAGGAATCGACCTTGGAGGAGGCTACAAGCTTGGTCCGGTGGTGGGACCATAAAATATGGCTGTTTGGAATCGCCACTGAGATGTACCAGCAAACTGTCAATGGTAGACATGGAAATTCAAGCAGAGGCTGCCTGACCCAAATAACTGTTATTTGAAATTGACTTCTCGGCCTTGAATTGTCCAGCTATCTCAACTTTTCCTGGTTGTTTATGTGAACGAGAAGCTCTGCCTCCCCTCCCCTATCACTCCCCTCCATAGGACGTCTGGGGATCTGTGTCAGAGTTGTGCCAGCTGAAAGACACTGCCATCTCTTATAAGAACTATGGCACTCTCTACCAGTCTCCACGGACTGCTCACTGTCCTCGTCGGCCTCCTCGTGCATTAAATGTATTATGATATCATCTGTATGTTGTTGTTTCATGTGCTGAGGTCATTTTTTTCTCAACTCTCATAATGTATCCCGTAGGACACAGTATGAGATTAGATTTTTTACACCTCCCATTCCCCTTGTGTTTCTTTTTACTTATCTGAAAATAAGGCTGAACCTCCCAAGGCCAGCGGCCTCAAGGCTCCCACAGACTCGTGCAGTCCTCAGTCCACGCAGAAACTGTGCACTCTTTCCACAGACGGTTGAGACTTAATACACGAGCATCCACCCTGAGCAACTGCACTCAGCTCCACAGGCAAAGGGTGTTTACCTTCAGGACAAATTTAGTTCGCCGACTGGTCATTTGCTGACACGCCTACTGGACTGAATGACAGGTTGCAAATGAATAACAAACTGAGAGCTCCAGCCGCAGCGGTGTTCTGTGGTTATGTTGTTAATAAAAAGTTCTAAAAAAAAACAACAAAAAAAAACAGGGAGCACTGGTCTTGCAGCCCACACATCAGACCAGCACACCAGGAAATCTCCAGACCCTCCCGCAGCCATGCTGGACCTGATTTCAATTCTCTCATGACAAATTCCTTCGTTTCTCACCATTTCAGTCATGGTGTCAACGGAGGAGGAAGAGATCACTGCCTCTTGGCAAAAAAACTAAAGAAAAGGTCAGATCAGGGATGAAGGGGAATTTAATACATTGGTGTCACAAACAAAACAGTGTGTCGCCGGGCAGTTTATTGTGCGACACCGAGTACGCGTACGCAGTCATAAAAATTGAGCTTTGCACGAACATGTCCTGCAGGCGTCCGCTTCGACTCTAATCCGTATGCACGGACTGACGTCCATCCGAGTCTGTGCGAGCCTTCAGTCGTCTCCGTCTCCTCATGTCAGTTGTTTATGTTGTTCTCTTGGACAAGCTGTACTGAAAATGTAACTTTGTTGTGCTTCGTTGCAATGACAATAAAGCTGATTCTGATTCTGAAAGATGGCATCTGTGGTGCTCTTTCTCTTTCTCTTCATGAAACCATCCTGCTGCTCACAGATAGTCACCTCTCGTCTAAGTCTTGCTTCCACAACTCTCTCCCAGATCTTCATCGTGTGGCTCATCAGCTTAATTCTCCTGTAGTTGCTACAACTCTGTACATCACCTTGTTCTTAAAAATGGCCACCAGCACTTCTTCTCCATTCCTCAGACATTTTCTCACCCTCAAATATGCCACTGAATATTTGAGTCAAAAACCTCACTGCCATCTCTCTCCAAGACATTTCCAAACCTCCACTGGTCATCAGGTCCTACTGCCTTCCCCTTCTTCATTCTTTTCAGAGCTTTCTGGACTTCACCCTCACTGATCTTTCCCACTTCCTGGTCCACAGTTTCTATGATCTCTACTCTTCTTTCTCTTTCATTCTCTTCATTCATTAGCTCCTCAAAGTACTCCTTCCTTCTTCCCATCACACTCTCCTCACTTGTTAGAACATTAATATTCCTATCATTAATGAGCCTAACCTGCTGCACATCCTTTCCAGCCTGATCCCTCTGTCTCACCAATCAGTACAAGTCCTTCTCTTCCTCTTTAGTGTCCAGTCTCCATACAACTCATCATACACCTTCTGCTTTGTCTTAGCTACCTCCCTCTTTGCTCTACGTCCCATCTCCTTATATTCCTGTCTCCTCTCTTCAGTCCTCTCTCTGTCATATTTCTTCTTGACTAACCTCTTTCTTTGAACATCTTCCTGCACTTCACTATTCCACCACCAGGTTTCCTGATCATCCATTCTCTGTCCAGATGACACACCAAGTACCTTCCTACCTGTCTCTCTAATTACTGTTGCTGTAGTAGTCCAGTCATCTGGAAGCTCTTTCTTACCACCCAGAGCCTTTAACAGCTCCTCTCTGAATTTCTCACAACATTCTTCCTTCTTCATCTTCCACCATTTGGTCTTCTTCTCTGATTTGACTCTTTTTCTCGTCTTCACAACAACAGTCATTCTACACACAACCATCCGATGCTGTCTGGCCACGCT